GCATCAAGGAGCCCCCGAAGCCCAAGCAGGTGGATCGATGGACGGAAAAACGGGCCTTGTTCGGGGTCTACGATAACGTGGGGATCCTGGGTAAGACACCCCCGCCTCCCCTCCCCGCTGCGGCCCCAGGGCAGGAGGGGAGGGAGGGCGGACCCACCTGCGGGCCAGCGGCTCCAGCAGCGAGACGGCGGGGGGGGTGTAAGTGACTGGGGCCGTTCGGCCTGGGAGCCGCATCCTCCAGGGCCTGGCTTCATCGTCTCTGCTCTGCCCTCCTGTTCTCAGGTGGCTTCCAGATGCACCCCAAGAACCTCATCGTAGGGCCCAAGTGGCTGCAAGGCTGGCGGGGGGACGAGGTGCCGGGGGGGATCCGCAAGGAGGAGAGAGGTGCATCCGCAAGAAGCAGATGGTGGGAGATCGGATGTTTGTAGAGGACTACCACAAACTCAACAAGAGGATCCGGTACTTGTACAGGCGCTTCAATCGTACCGGGAAGCACCGCTAGGAGCAACTGTGGGTCCAGCACATGGAGTGTGGTTTTGTGGCATCATGGTTAGAATAAAGCAAGCTTTCACACAGTTGGGTTCCCAGTGCTTTCTGCAACCTTTGCTGTGCCTTTCTGGCCCAGACCCAAGGTCCTGCTGCTGCTCCAAGCCTGAGCTCCTCTGTGCCAGTTCTGCTCTCTCAATCATTTCTGACATACTTCTCACAGGCATCTGTTCCAGCCTGCATCCTGAACTTGGCCCGGGAGTCCTCTACTTTTTGGCCAGGCTTCTAGAATCCTTTTGGTCTCTCTGAGCTCCAGGATCTCACGTCCCACTTGACAATTTCAGTACACTCCATCTTAGGTTTTTCCTCATAGCCAAATTTTCAAGTTAGCAATGAGTGCCTGCCAATACCTCTTCTTGCTCGTTGCTTGTCCCCTTGCCATCCCTTTATCTGTGATTAATATTAAGCGTGAACGAGCCAAGTGTTAGTTGAAATGCATCAAAACCTGTCTGTAGAACAGGATTTATCTCTGTTTCACATTGATGATGATTTAACCCTGTACTAATGACACTTACAGACCAAGTAGCCTTCTGTTTATAATTCAGTGAGGCTTTGCAAAATAATTCAGGCACTTAACTGTTTTAAAAAACTCTAGCTTCTAGTTTTCCATAACTGTTATTGGTTCCTTTAGAGGAGAAGTTAACGGTGAGTCTAAGCTGGCATCCCTCTAGTCCTGCATCACAAAGACTATTGTATACTTCAGAAAAATCTGTACAATGAGCTGGCATCTGCTTATCTCTTCTCCCTTAGTTTTAATTTGGCTGACTTTTCCTGTCACAGAGCAACGCTACTGTGTCTTTAAAAGCATTTGGTCGGAAGCGGCAGGGAATGAAAATAACTTTCTTCAGGTCTAAGCCTTAGAAAAGTGAAGCCAAAGTCTCTGTTCAAGCAGCTAAAGTCCATGTTCTCAGGAGCAGGGTGGCAGACCTGTGGGACTCTTGCCAAAAGGTGTTGTGGATTCAGGAAATGTGCACAGATTCAAGCGAGACTGAGCAAGCACCTGGAAGAAAGCAGCTGAGGGTTATTATGTACTTAAACCACAGATGTAGCAAATCCTTGGCTGAAAGTATGTCAGAAACTGGAAAAGCATCAGAGAAAAGTATCTTGTACCCTTTGTCAGCTCTTAGTCACTAAGCACCAACTTGGCAAGGGTTCTGTGGACCAACAGTTCCACAAGCTCTATCTTCTGTTATTGCAGTGATTACTGGGACAGTCCTGAAACTGTGGTGGGAAGGTCACCAAGCTACAGAAGCTTCTTCCAAGACTTGTCCCTTCACAGCTTGCCTGAAGGCACAGCTTAAAAGCATTCAGTTCCACTGAGGCTAGTGCTAGGTTGCTCCTTAACCCTCAACAGTCCTATATGCAAATCATCTGGCCCTAGCTGCAACCCTCTATTAAGTCTTCACCTTCCTCATAGCCACAGTCTTTTGGCTCCCAGGCTGTAATTTAGAACGTCTCTGTCTTGTGTGTCTAGTAATCTATCAGATCCAACACTAAAAACTTTTACTAATGGCCTGCATCACCTTACGAAAGGGAACTGAAACTCAGTGTAGGTGTGAACCAGTCACTTGCTACCCTACTCACCACACCAAATGCTGGACGGAGGGACTTCTTGCTCCACTGCGATCCTCCCTCCCTTTTTGTCCCGAATCGAAGAGTCCTCCCTTCTGATCCAGCAGGCTTCTCAAAATCTTTAGAGGGGGGAAAAAACCAAACATGTACCTGTTCTTGGGGCTGCTGCTGGAGCCCAATTTCCCCCAGCAGGCAGCGGAGGCTCCAACGCAGCTGCTTCAGGGACTCGTTCACGTTCCCTTTTACGCTGTGCTGTACGGTGGAAGCGGGCCAGCAACTCCATATCTTAATTGCAGGGACAGCGGCTCAACCAGAGCCAACAAACGCGCTACGGCGGCGGGGGCTGTGGAGGCGCTCCGCAGCCCCCCCCGTAACGGCACCGGCACGGGCCGGGCTCGAAGGGGAAAACCGGACGGAGCAGGTGACGGCGTTCAGGCC